GACTTCTTGCAGATCAGGCATGTTGGTGAAAGTCCAAGTAACTCAGGGACGTCGCTCTCATTCGAGACCAACTCACACTTCAGTAAACTTGGATGCCCAACTACGACAACAGCGGCACCCGCTCGATACCTGCTTACAATTCACTCCACGATGCCCTGGCCAGAGAAGGCCCCAAAGTCCGGAACTGCGCTCTCGCTTCAGCTTTCCGCGCAGTTGGGCCAAGTTGTTCGAGGGCCAACTACGAGGACAACGGCTCACGCTCGATACTTCCTCGCAATTTTTATGCATTATCGCACTCAGGAGTGGCGCTATCGTCTGAGGTTTCTTCGTAATTCATTCAATTCTAGACGCTTCGCGTAAACCACCAGCCCATCCAGAAAAGAAGCCTAGTCGAGTTGCCCCGATCAGGGTGTAGAGGAGCATGCAGTGGAATAAAGGACTAAGGAAGCCGTCATATTCCTAGAGAGAGTGAGAGAGAGAGAGATACATACGATCGAGGAGGAAGCAGAGGAGGATGTGGAGGAGTGCGAGCAGAAAGGCCAGAGGCCTCTTGGATGCCTTCCGGAGTCTCTTCAGATGTCTCTTGATTCTTGGAGGCCTTTTGGGGCTTCTTGGGGGTCTCTTGGCGGTCCCGTGGGCCTTTCGGAGCGTCTTGGGTGCCTCGGGGGAGCCTCTTGAGGCCTCTTGTGGATCTGTCGGGAGCCTCTTGGGGGCCTCTTGGGGCCTCGTGGGCGCCTCTTGGGTCCCTCTTGGGACCATCTTGGGAGCCTTGGGGGCCATCTTGGGGCCATCTTGGAGGAGTTCAATCAAAGAGAAGGGGGGGCCCTCAATCTGCGTTCCCCCCCTTGGAGGCCAAAATGGGACCAACGCCTAAGTCACATCAAAGATTTGTATCCTTTGAGCCCAGGCCACCTTCCCCGCAGACCCCCCTGCCCAGGTCCAGGGGGAGAGGGCAGGGGGAGGGGTCAAGACACGCTCTCCGCCCGCAAGCAGTCTCGTTCACTCCCACCCGCCCTCCCAACACACGAAAATAGCACCCGAGCCGCAGCAGTTCAGCGGTCGTCTTTGGATGGATAGCGAATGCGAACCAAAACAGGCTCCATGTGCGCAACGCTGGGGCGAGGTGCTCCACGCGTGCCAGGCGTGCCACGCGGGCCAGGTGTGCCAGACACCCCTGTGGCCCAAGTGTGCCAGGCATGGAGCGCCAGATGCGCGACGTGATCCACGTGCGCCATGTGTGCCGCATGTTCCAGCCGCGCTGTGTGCGCCACGCTCGGGGAACGCGCAGAGTGTGTCAGGTATGTCTGCGCACGTGGCAGTACACATCGGGAAACGTGTCGGCCTTCACCTCCCTTGTCAAAAACCAGTGCGCAATCGCGGCGGGGTGGCCATTATAATGTCTGGTGGGCCGGCACACTGTAGGCAATATGCCAGCACCCCCGCCGTCCCAGTCAAAAGCCGATGCGCAGTGATCGCGGGGTGCCTGCGCATGATCCAGTTTTTCCCTCGAAGTGCATTGTGTATTGTTTCTTGAGAGGGATGCTTGCCTTGCACACAACAGGCAATATGCGAGCACCCCCGCCGTCCTTGTCAAAAGACAAAGTGCTCGCGGCCCCCCCGATCATGACCCAAGATTTAGCCCCAGAGTGGACTGTGGACTTTACCCTTTTTTTGACACGGATGGTGTGGGGGGGGGGGGTCCGCCTTTGTCCTGGTTTGCTGCCGGTCGCCTGGGGGAGGGGGTGCTTATTAATAAGGAACAGTGATAAGCCCCTCCCCGAAGTGGAAGAAGGGGGGTGGAAAAGGAAACGCTCTGAACCACTCACGCCTTAAAGGGCTGGTGGGATTTTGTGAACGCCCAGCTAAGGCGACAATGGCTCGCGCTCGATACTTCCTCACAGTTTACTCTGAAACATTCTGGAGGCCCCCAAACTCAGGAACAGGTCTCTGTACCGAGACTTCCTCGCGCTTCTTTCAAGTTGGTGAGTTGACTGCTGGCGCGTTAGCTCGCATAAGGGCCATTTCAGCGCGGTCTGCAGGCAGAGCGCACTGGATGCTTCTCCTAGGAACTGGTATGAAAAGACCACCCCATAGAAGAGGGTCGGTTCATAGACGTAGTGGGCGGGTACATGGGAGAGGGAGAAACACACGAAGGTCAAAGCAGCTGGTTAGATCACATGTTCGCAGGATGGTTGTTGTCATCGTCGTCGTCTTTGTTGGTCGCCGTTGTGGGTCGCCGTCGCCGTCGCCGTCGCCGTCGCCGTCGCCGTCGCCGTCGCCGCCGCCGCCGCCGCCGCCGCCGCCGCCGCCGCCGCCGTCGTCGTCGTCGTCGTCGTCGTCGTCGTCGTCGTCGTCGTCGTCGTCGTCGTCGTCGTCGTCGTCGTCGTCGTCGTTTTCGTCGTCGTCGTCGTCGTCGTCGTCGTTGTCGTTTTGACGAGGCGTCGTCCTCGTCGGATCGAGGATCGAGGCGTTTCGATTTTTTTTGTACCCTTCTGCGCCTCCGCACGCGTCGGGGGGCTCCAGGGAGTCCCAAGGGGAGCTCTGGAGGCCTCTGGGCAGTGGACCTCCGGAGGCTCCTGCGGACTCGAACGACATGCTCCCAGTCACGAGGGGGAGGCTGGGCGCGCAAGGGCGCGAATTGACGTGGCCAAGGGCCTCTGTGGGAACATCGTTCGACTCGAGAGGAGGAGGAGAAGGAGGAGGAGGAGGAGGAGGAGGAGGCGGAGGCGGAGGAGGAGGAGGCGGAGGCGGAGGCGGAGGCGGAGGCGGAGGCGGAGGCGGAGGCGGAGGCGGAGGATGAGGCGGAGGAGGAGAAGGAGGAGGAGGAAGCGGAGGAGGAGGCGGAGGAGGAGGAGGAGGAGGAGGAAGCGGAGGAGGAGGAGGAGGAGGAGGAGGAGGAGGAGGAGGAGGAAAACGAGCGTCGAGAAGGAGGAGAAGGATGAAGAAGGCATGAGGCAGAGGCGAAAGCATCCCGAAGCAGCCCCAAAGATGCCGCCCGAGAAGCCACACGTGGCCCAGCATGGCCCTCCGATCCTGCCCCTAGCAGCAGTATCGGTGTGCCCGGAAGCCTCCGTGGGAACATCCGAATCGACGTGCGAGAAGCTTCTCTGGGAGCACCGCGGGAATCGAGAAGACGAGGATAATCGGAAACTGGAACCTATACATTACCAGTGGCGGGCTGTTGTTCAATCCCAGGAAGGCTTGAGGGTCGGGGACGACGTCGGGGTGGTGTGGTCCAAACTTGTTTCCCCGTGTTCCCGTGGAAACAACAAAAATGTATACACCAGGATACCGTTTTCACTATAATCCGTTTTATTGTGCGAATCTCAGTACGGGGCTGGCAAAAAAGCATCGGTGCATGAAGTTCGGTTCCTTAGATAACGGGTGACGAGGAGTACAGAGGATGAAGGCAGGAGGTTGAGAAGATCGGCATTCGAGCCATCCTCAAGAATCTCCCGAGGAATACGCCCGCTCCCAATCGGCTCTCGAAGAGACCCCCAAGAGCCCACGCAAGAAGGGCCCCAAGAAGCCATACCACAAACCCAAAGGGGCGCCTAAGAGGTTCCCCCGGCAGCACTGCAGAGTCCGAAAGCGGCCACGTACAGGTCAAGAGGGCCCTAAGATACACATGAGGGCCGCGCCATGCCCCACCACACTCCCCAGCATATGTTTTCGCACTGGTCCTGAACCAATTGATCCCTGGGAGCGACGCGCGGCTTCTGGGAACTTCGGAATCGATTTTCCTGAACGCCTCGCCGGAAATATGCGAATCGACGTGTTCTGGAGCCTCTGTGGGAACATCGTTCGAATCAAGAGGAGGAGGAGGAGGAGGAGGAGGAGGAGGAGGAGGACCAGTGTAAACCCAAGACTCATCAACGATGCTGAAATGCACCCTCCCTCCAAGATCTCTCTTCATAGGCCCTTGAAAGGGGTCATTTCCTCTGTGGGAATTGCCCCGTTGGGGGGCAACCGTGTGAACATCTTGAAGCGTGCCAAAACACCATTCTCAGGACTTCAGCGCCATAAGTTAGCCTGACTGCTACGTCTCGGCGATCCTGAATCGTGCCAGAACACAATCCTTGGGACTTCAACACCGCGAATCAGCGTTAACTGTTGCTCCCTGACAATATGGAATCGTTCCAAAAAGCCGTTTCTGTTACGTTAGCCATGAGAAGCAGTGAAACTCGTGAACATGTTTCAAACGAACCGGCGCGGCGCTATGGCGAGGGCCACATTTTGAAAACGACCCGCGCTCAGTCCGTGAAGCTGTTGTAGAAATTTGGAACGAATGTGCGCGGCGCTGAGGCGAAAACAACATTTTGAACACGAGCCGCCCTCCATCCGTGAAGCTGTTGCACATTTTTAGATCGAATTTGCGCGGCGCCAAGGCGAGAGCCACATTTTGAAAACGACCGCTGCTCAATCCGTGAAGCTCTCGCAAATTTATAGAAACGAATCTGTGCGGCGCTAAAGCGAGAGCCACATGTTGAAAGCCACCCGCCCAATTTCGTGAAACTCTTGCAATTTTGCAAAGGAGAATGTGCGCGGCTCTAGGGCGAGAGCCACATTTTGAAAACGAGCCGCTCTCAACCCGTGAAGCCCGTAGAAATTTCTGAATCGAGTGTGCGCGGCGCTAAAGCGAGAGCCACATTTTGAAGACGAGCCACCCTCAATCCGTGAAAGTGTTGATTTCTTTGTATAATGAATATGCGCGGCGCTGGGTCGAGAGCCACATTTTGAAAATGACCCGCGCTCAGTATGTGAAGCTGTCGCAGAAATTTGGAACGAATGTACGAATGTGTGCGGCGCCAAGGCGAAAACCACATTTTGAACACGAGCTGCCCTCAATCCGTGAAGCTGTTGCGCATTTTTAGATCTAATTTGCGCGACGTGAAGGCGAGAGCCACATTTTGAAAACCAGTCGCCCTCAATCCGTGAAGCCCGTGCAAATTTTTAAAACGAGTCTGCGTGGCGTTACGGCGAGAGCCATATTTTGAATACGAGCCGCCCTCAATCCGTGAAAGTGCTTCTCCCCATATCCTAAGATGGGGTTCTTGTTATTACTTGGACGCCTCCTACTCCTTATTCCTCTTCTCCTCCTCCTCCTCCTCATACCTAGACTTACTCATACACAGACTTACCCATACACAGACTTACTCATACTCAGACCTGATCATATTAACTTACTCATACTCAGACCTACCCATACTCATACCTACTTATACTCAGGCTTACTCATGCTGAGACTCACTCATACCCAGACTTACTCATACTCAGACCTTCTCATTGTCTGACTTACTCAACACACAGCACATTGTGAGGATATCTCAGGCGGGGCGCTGGTTTCAGCATCCCTCAGGGGAGCCGCCGAGGGGTACTGCACGGTCCCGTGCGCGGCCGTTTTGTGGGGATCTCTTAAGCGGTTTGCTTGTTCTCTGTCTCAACATCCTTCGCTTGGAGAGCAGATTATGAGGATGCCTCAGGCGGGGCGCTGGTTTCAGCTACCTAAGGGGAGCCGCCGAGGGGTATTGCCCGGTCCCGTTCGCTGCCGTTTTGTGGGGATGTCTCAAGCGGTTTGCCTGTTTTCTGTCCCAATTTCCTTCGCTTGGAGAGCAGATCGTGAAGATGTCTCAGGCGGGGCGCTGGTTTCAGCTACCTAAGGGGGAGCTGGCAAGGTGCTTTCACGGCTCCGTTCGTCGCCATTCTGTGGGGATGTCTCAAGCGGTTTGCCTGTTTTCTGCTTTTGCGTTGTGTCCCGAGTGGCTCTCCCCGTTGCGTACGGCGGTCAAGGAGGAGTGACCAGGTGTTGCTGGCGCAGAGTTTGTGTCCCTACAGTATGAGATGCACATATGGCTCATATGGCTAGACGCTCATTTAAAAATCCCAAGTACAGTATTACCTTTTAAAAAGGATCCACATATGGGGAGCTCCACGCAGTGAGTATTTTTTGTATGATGAATTCGAGCGGCGCAAGGCGAGAACCACATTTTCAAAACGACCCGCGCTCAGTCCGTGAAGCTGTTGATAGTTTTCAAGCACCAGGGTTTTACATGGCGAGGAAGTCTCAGGCGAAACGCGCGGCCCGTCCTTTCGACCGGTCTCGAGGTGCGGCAGGAAGGAGTTATCTATCAGGAAAAGGAATGGGGAGGAGGAAGAGGAAGAGGAAGAGGACCAGTGTAAACCCAGGATTCATTAACGATGTCGGAACATACCCTCCGTCCGAGCTCCCTCTTCATAGGCCCCTACGAGGGTTCATTTCCATTGGGCGAATAGCTCCGTCGTGGGACAGCCCTGTGAACATTTTGAAGCGTGCCAAAACACCATCCTCAGGATTTCAAAGCCACGTGTAGACCTGACTGGTGCGTCTTGGCAATCCTGAATCGCGCCACAACACCATTCCTGGGAGTTCAACGCCGCCAATCAGCGTCAACTGTTGCGCCCTGACATTTTGAATCATCCCAAGACACCGTTTCTGGTACGTTATCCATTCGTGTCCGTGAAGCTCCACCTGCAAAGTTTTGGAACGAATGTGCGCGGCGAGCCGTTCTCAATCCGCGAGAGCCACATTTTTGAAAACGAGCCGCCTTCATTCTGTGACGCTCCTGATTTTTTAACGAATAATGTGCGCGGCGCTGAGGCGAAAACCACATTTTGAAAACCAGTCGCCCTCAATCCGTAAAGCCCTTCGGAATTTTTAAATCGAGTGTCCGCGGCTCTAAGGCGAGAGCTGCATTTTGAAAACCACCCGCCCTTACTCCGTGAAGCTGTTGCAGAAATTTGGAACGAATGTGTGCGGCGCTAAGGCGAGAACCACATTTTGAAAACGAGCCGCTCTCAATCCATGAAAGTCTGGCATTTCCTTGCATAATGAGTTTGCGTGGAGCTACGGCGAGAGACACATTTTGAAAATGAGGCGCCCTCAATCCGTGAAGCCCTAGCACATGTTTAAGACGACTGTGCGCGGAGCTACAGCGAGAGCCACATTTTGAAAACGACCCTCCCTCCATCTGTGAAGCTTGCCCATTTTCAAGCTTCAGGATCATAATTGGGAAGGCCCGTCCTTTCGACCGGCCTCGGGGTGCGGCAGGGAGGAGTTGTCTATAAGGAAGAGGAACGGAGGAAGAGGAGGATAACGGGCGCTGAGAAACAGGAGAGGGTTGAAAAAGGCAGGACGCATCCGAACATGGGGTTGAAGTTGATGTGGTCGGAGGATCTCGCCGCATCGCCGATGTGTCGGCGATGAAGCTTGATGTGAAGTCCGATTTTCTCCGCGCCGACGGTGGCGATCCATCGCCGACATCGCCGATGCATCGGCGATGCGGCGTGATCCTCCGACCCCATCCACTCGGACCTCATTTGGGAGGTCTCCAGAGGAGGAGGAGGAGGAGGAGGAGGAGGAGTAGGAGTAGGAGGAGGAGGAGGAGGAAGAGGAGGAGGGAAGACCTGCTCAGGCGTCTCTGGCTGGGAAGTTCGAGAGCGCCGGCTCGTCGGTGGACAAAGGCCTCGCGCTTCATTTTTGCTGCGGACCCCAGGCACGCTGCGGGCTGCTCCTGGTGCTTCTGCTGCCCCTCATCCTGAGGCCTCTGCATCCTCTTGCCTCCTCGTACTTCTCTTTCCCTCAGTATCCGTCGCCACATCCTCATTTGCCAGCGTCCCCGCCCCTCTTCCTCCCCTGCTTGTCATCCCTCCTGGCCCTCTCCATGCCTTCGCCTTCCTCACCCTGAGCCAGTCCTCTCCACCTTTCTGGCATCCTCTAGTATCCCCCGTTGCCACGCTGTAGCCATCTTGGCTTCCGTAGACTGCCTCGACCCAGACTGGTCTCACCCGAATCCGAGTCTCAATGCAGGTTGCTGTCCACCTGCTAAGGCGATAGTGTTTTCCAAAGAGCGATTGGTGGAGAGCGTCCGCTTGCTGAACGCTGACAGTGTGGTCAGCTTACCCCGCGCAGCGGTGTTCGAGGGCTGGGCGCATGCGGTTTGCTGAGAGAGCGCCGTCTGGATTATGTCGTTCGGGTTCCTCTTGGTGTGTGTGGACGGCGACGGGGTCCACTGCGAGAAGTTCTTCGGCGGACCTACGAAGTGGATTGCGCGAGCAGGAGGAGGAGGAGGAGGAGGAGGTGCATAATCATAATGGAAAACAATACCACCACGAGGACAAGGGGGAAGGATGACGAGCAGGGCGCTGATGAAGGAGAAGAACAGCAACAACAATAGCAACAACAGTAATAAAACGACCAAAAGCAATACTACGAGTACTAATGACGTAGTAGTAGTAGTAGTAGTAGTAGTAGTAGTAGTAGTAGTAGTAGTAGTAGTAGTAGTAGTAATAGTAGTCGTAGTAGTAGTAGTAGTAGTAGTAGTAGTAGTAGTAGTAGTAGTAGTAGTAGTAGTAGTAGTAGTAATAGTATTAGTAGTAGTTGTAGTAGTAGTAGTAGTAGTAGTAGTAGTAGTAGTAGTAGTAGTTGTTGCAGTAGTAGGAGTAGTAGTAGTAGTAGTAGTAGTAGTAGTAGTAGTAGTAGTAGTAGTAGTAGTAGTAGTCGTAGTAGTAGTAGTAGTAGTAGTAGTAGTAGTAGTAGTAGTAGTAGTAGTAGTAGTAGTAGTAGTAGTAGTAGTAGTAGTAGTAGTAGTAGTAGTAGTAGTAGTAGTAGTAGTAGTAGTAGTAGTAGTAGTAGTAGTAGTAGGTAGTAGTAGTAGTCGTAGTCGTAGTCGTAGTCGTAGTCGTAGTCGCAGTAGTAGTAGTAGTAGTAGTAGTAGTAGTAGTAGTAGTAGTAGTAGTAGTAGTAGTAGTAGTAGTAGTAGTAGTAGTAGTAGTAGTAGTAGTAGTAGTGGTAGTGGTGGTAGTAGTAGTAGTAGTAGTAGTAGTAGTAGTAGTAATTGTAGTAATTGTAGTAGTAGTATACATATAACGGCGCACCGGGTCCGGGGGCCCGGGGCCGGGACCCCGACCGCAAATGTGGGCCCCGGGGGGCCCGGAGGCTCGTCGGACCGCCGGACGCCGTCCAAGATCGTTCGCAGGCGGCTTCGGAACGCGCTCCGATGGCTCCAGATGCCTTCCAAGACGCCTGTCATGACACCAAGAAGGTCCCAGAAGCCTCCAAGACGCTCCGAGAGGCAGCCCAAGAGAGGCCCAAGAAGCAAAAATCGTGCCATTCCTATGGAAAACGTATATTTTTCGCATGTTCGCCTCTTGGGCTTTCACCGCGTCCAAGACGGCCCAAGAGGCGCCCAAGACGGTCTACGAGGCCTCCGGGAGCGCTCCAAGGCTGCGCACGAGTGGCCCAGGACGGCCCCAAGACGGCCGAAGAGAGCCCCAAGACGAGTTCGAGAGGGGTCCCAGACGGAGAAAGCCAACCTCGAATTCCGAGCTTCCGGCCCAAGAGGCTCCAGGAGGCGCCAAAATGCCGCCAAGAGGCGCCAAAAGGCTCCCAAAAGCACCCCAAGACGTTCCGAGAGGCACCCCAAGAGAGGTCCAAGAAACAAAAATCGTGCCATTCCGATGGGAAAACGTATATTTTTCGCATGTTCGCATCTTGGGCATTCACCGCGTCCAAGACGGCCCAAGAGGCCTCCAAGACGGCCTAGGAGGCCTCCGGGAGCGCTCCAAGGCTGCGCACGAGTGGCTCAGGTCGGCCCCAAGACGGCCCAAGAGAACCCCAAGACGACTTCGAGAGGGGTCCCAGAAGGAGAAAGCCACTCTCGAATTCCGAGCTTCCGGCCCAACACATCCCAGGAGGCGCCAAAATGCCGCCCAGAGGCGCCAAAAGGCTTTCAAAATCAGCCCAAGACGTTCCGAGAGGCACCCCAAGAGAGGTCCAAGAAGCAAAAATGGTCCCATTCCTATGGGAATATATATATATATATATATATATATTTATATGTGTGTATATATATATATATACATACATACATCTACCCGGGGAAGGAAATCGGGGCCCGGAAACCACGGCCTCGAACCCCCAATCTGGGTCCACCCCCCCCTGGGGCCTCCTCGGCCGCTCCCC